ATTGTTGCCATAGCCTATCACTAATACCCTAGCCAGTGACTAAAGTGAGTCATATAATACAGGTAGAGAGAGCGGTGCCCCGGCTAATCCATTGCTGATAGAAGCGAACGAGTCCACGTAAGCAATCGATGGCCCACGAATAAAAAGGACATCCCACTAATTTTGCTCATTCTCCCTGGCTTCAGCCCAGATAGAGTAAAGAAATTCGAAAAATACTTATGCAGTTTATAACAGTGGTATAAAGTACAACTATTTCTGTGGATAATATTTTCAAAGCCATGTCTCATATTTCTAATACATATATTTGGTCTCATATTTGAATGATCAAACGAACTTACCAAGTGAAGTTCGATCTAAATTATCCTGTTTTCGCCGAAGAGATTTATTTTACCATGTAGTAGTACCCCTGTACGACAACCCAATCCGCACACAATATTCAGCGTAGTAGTATTAAAAAACAAAAGAGCGGGCAACCCCACCCCTACCACGCTGGGGGCTCGGTGTCCGAGCGGTCTCATTATAGTTAGAGAAGAGATGACATTGACGTTTACCTCCAGGGAAGAAGATATAGAAATCTTCGGGTTGGGAGGGACCTTAAATCTCTTCGGCGAAAACAGGATAATTTAGATCGAACTTCACTTGGTAAGTTCGTTTGATCATTCAATTATCCTGCTTTCGCCTCCGAGATTTATTTTANTATTCAACTAGATGTTGTTATTTCTTTTGAAAAGTTGAAATCTTATAAATTAGGTATGGAAAGTGGTAGTGATAACGAAAGTGCGTCAAATTCTATTGCGCCGCTTACGCCGATTAAAAAACGAAAAATACCAAAAAGACTCCAAATAAAATAAACCGGAGTGGAAAAGAGAGTATGCCTGGATTACTGAAGATCCCCAAAATAGACAGTGTGAGTCACGATAAAGTGCACATATGAAAATATGGGAAACTATTTTAGAGGTTTTTTTTAATTTTTTATAGAATTTTTTTTCTTCAAATTACTTTTCGTAAAGAAAACGTGTAATAACTTTTAAACTAAGAGGTATATCCTGATAAAATAATAACAATAATAATGCTAAATACATAACAGGCGATACTAATAAAATACATAAAATACCCAGAAAATGCCAACAAATAATAAAAAAATATACTTTTTGAAAAAAAATCTGCTTTTAAATTCGTGTTTTTTTGGTTATTTGATCAATTTCTCCAAAAAATGCCCCTATAACAGGTGGTTTTTATTGCTTTGTATTATTCTCTATCGTATTACTTTTGTAAAACTAAAAATTGCATGTCTCTATCCTTATCACAACATATTATGTCAATTTTAAAATCGGCGTTAGAACAACGTAAAAAAGATATTTTTTTTGGTTACAAAACAAAAAAAATGTTGCAATCATTAGAAGCAAAATCCCCCCCACCGAAAGTTATGGAATTCGAAAAGATTTTTTTGCTTTTTTTTTATAAATGTTTAGACTATATTAATAAATGGTTTGATTTCTGTGAAAGCAATTGGTTATTTAAAATCCAATAATTAAATTTAAAAAAGGAGGTTTCATTTAATGACTGTGAGACAATATTAGAAGTTCTAAATTTACAAGAAAAATTGAGTATCAACACAAAATAGTTGTTACAACCAACCTTTTGTTGGGTCTAATTCTCGTCACTACACTGCACAACTTAAAATAATTACGTTTTTTGTCGGTAAAAACGTCCTGGTGACGTCACTTAAGCATTTTTCTTATACTGCGTGCGGTCGTTGCGCGTGCGCACAAAGGAATGAGACCGCTCGGACACCGAGCCCACAGCGTGGTAGGGGTGGGGTTGCCCGCTCTTTTGTTTTTTAATACTACTACGCTGAATATTGTGTGCGGATTGGGTTGTCGTACAGGGGTACTACTACATGGTAAAATAAATCTCGGAGGCGAAAGCAGGATAATTCTTAAAATAATACACATTACAAAAGACAAAATAGTAAATAAGTAAAATGGGTTTTTTACAACCCAGCTGACGATGTTAATTACATAAGTACAAAAGAGATAAAGGCCGAAACAAGGGGCGAGTCACTCGAATAAATCCCATCAAGATAGGTATTAAGGAGCGGAAGCAGTACAAATAACTTTTGGCCCTCGCTACATATTGCCTACTGAAATAGAAAAATAGAGGTATAATCGCGAAGACAGTTGTAAGGTCGCTCTTATAATGGTTATTAGGTAATTAATGTAATCTACCTGAACTTAATGACACTCAATGTACTTTAGATGCATCGATATGAGTACTGTACGTACATACTTATTTGGATATTTTGAGGAGTTTTTGCAAAAAAAATTGTATCTTTGGGAACCTTTGCAACTAGAATAATCTCCTGGTCATAATTTATTTATTTTTAGGCAGATCATAAGTCTGGAAGTTTGAGTAGGATAGTTATCCATTCTTAGTAGTTACTAAGAATGCACTCAACAAGCCGAAAGGCAGTCATAGAACGAAAAGAAGTACGACTCTATAACCCCCTAAAAAGATACTAAACTTTAATAGATGCAAAGACTGAGAGATGTCTTTCACTAGACAAACTATCTAGGACTCTACTCAATGTAAAAACTTTACTTAATCCACTAACAGTCATTTAATTTAGCTACAACACCTGAAACAGCAAAATCGGTTCATTTTTGTAAGAGCGAGCCGTGTTCATCAAAGAACAATAAATACACACTGGCAATAAGCGTGGGGACACTTAGGCCGATGTCGATTTATCGGTCTAGTGCCAAATGTACAAACAATAGAGCCTTGTATTGTGGCTATAGGTAATTAATACCGAACGTGGCGAACCGTGAACCGCTATGCAAATGGATATATGGGCTTTTGATAGTCTGAGAAATGGTGGTGCGATAAATCTTATAGCACGTGGCATCGGTTATGTGGCAAGTTAAGTTAAACACTGTAGTGTCTTATGTAGTCGCAGTAAGAGCGATTTTGCAACAGAAATGGATAGTCTGACGTGCTATCGAGTGTACATTCATCGTGATATCTTGTCGTTGTAACTACAACTGTGATAAGTGTCGTATTTACTTTGATATTTGGCAACAAAAATGTACCTCATGTGCTGTAATTCTTGAGTATTAGTTATTTAAAATTCTTATATAGAATCACGGCTGTAAATGTAAATTCAACAATGCTTAAACATTTATTTATCGTCTAACTCTGAGACTGGGTCAGTCTCGTGTCGTATAAAATAGACGTAAAATCTTTAGTAGGTTAATGGTAATTTACACCGCGTCCGCAGGGGTCTTATCTACTTACTTTTCAAACGATTTTTTATACAAGGTTAAGAATAATTAAAGGATACTTGTAATTTCAAAACAGTTTACAAAAAGTTTGTATAATAATTTGACAACCAACTTTTAATTAATTTAAGTTAGATTACCTAGGTAATCCTCTTTAAATAGAAATAGTCCAAACCCCTGAGTTAGCAACGATATTTGAACGTCAATAAGCTCCAAACAAAACAATTCAAATTATGTACCGATCTGATAGTTTAATAACCACCAAGAAGTAAACATTGTAACAAAAATAAGTCACCACCCTCACTTCGTCCAGTCATTAAGTGGCCTCAACATCTCAGGATGGCGGCCATTTCTCAACTATCGATCTCTGGGCGGAAACAATCTGACGTCTGCGGTCCGATAGCACGCGCCAGGCAATCATGAAAGTAATTATTTAATTATCAAGTTAAATGCACATTTAATGACACTAGAAAATAAACACTGAAGTATTACATCAATGACTCAAATAAAGAGAGATGTGTCGTGTCAGTGCCTGAAATGAGTTGGGATCTATTGTATGTTCAAAAATAAAGGTTTTAAAATTAATATCCGTATGTACGAGCTACGAGTATGTTCGATGGTAATTATCTAATTAACGTTTGGGGTAAATGCTTGCTTGCTTGCATGCAATGAATTTATCAATTATCTGAGTTATTATATAGCTTTAAATTTCTTTTGCACGCAATCTCATTTAAGTAACTGGACAATCTAAGGACTACTTCCATTCATCCAAAATAGCAAAAACAATAACAATAAATCCCTATCGATCTCCAATATTAAACACAGCTTGCCACAACTCGCAAATTGTTCACACAAACAGACCCGAGTCTCGAAATTGAATTGTAATAACATCTCTCTCGATCAGAGTATCAAGACAATGGCTTGTTGAGACGACGGCGCATTTGATTTCAGTTGACAATGCAGCGATCTATTCGACACCAGACGATTTTGGCGTCCACAGAATTAGTCAGCGCTGAGATTGGTAAAAGCTAGCTTGAGGACTTGCCACTATTTCGCAATAAATCAAGCTTAGTCTAGCAATTGACTCGTGTCGCTTTAAATTCTATTTTAACGTGAGCTCTAAGAACGCCGCTGACGTCTTGTTTACGATTCGACTTTAGCTGAATCAGAAATCGAATTTGAAATTGTGTTCATTTGCATTGGAACACGTTTGTGTCTGTTGCTATGGGTCGACCTACATTTTACCGTATCGCTTCTGAAGTTTGCGGTTGTTTTGAATTGCGACAGAGATTACTATTTTATATTCTGGTACCTGCTTAAGTATGTATTTATCGACAATCCCATTCATATATTAAAAAATATAGATCTTGCCCTGACAAGATCCAGGATCTATTGTTGAAAGTAAGTTCAAGAAATCCCTAGCTGATGGCAACGGAGGAGAAAATTCAAAGATTATTATTTAGCTAAGTTAACTAATTGCCTAAATTGTTACTCTACAATAAAATAAACTTCACAATTAGCCTATTGAAATGTGAAGCAACGTATTGGTTGGATTAGAGAAAATCATTACATTTTTAGTGTAACTTGTCTCATAATACCTAAATATTCGATGAAAAATCCTATCAAATACCATTGTCATACGAAATGTAAATCCTACAATCCTAGTTCTATTTTATTCCCACAATACTTACTCAAAGCACAATAAAATATTTTGTTTGGTACCTTTCAGTTGGGCGCTGCGTTGACTGCTAACGAGCCGCATTGTGGCGAGTCGGTCGTCCGGTGGGGGCAGCTACACTCTGCAATAGATAAATTAACATTTACATTTCTTTGTACCCCCTAAGGCTTCAGAAACTCCACGTAACGAACGACACAATAGTGTACCGGCACGTTCGCAAAAAAAAAAAACAAGCGGATTTGGAAAACGTCTTCCAAAATCTGTACTTTTAATGGTCTGTACTTAAATTGAGGTAAACGTTTACTTATTTTGATAAATATTTGTGTTTTTTTAACAAACGTCAAAAACAAAATTGCCACGAACCGGCCTAAAACATTTTTATCAGAATCATTAATTACCTACTCATTCATTCATATTACGGCAGTACCACATTGTAAAATTCCTTGCGACCTATATTTATAATGACGTTTCCGACTCCAGCTTCTTAATATGATAACCCTCGGTCACAAGCGCAAGAGTCGCCCCGATGTGGAGGCTTCAGCCGGTAATGCTATTAACCACAAACAGAACGCCACAAAGTGCCTTCGCTCTTAAAATTGAATTTTCAAAGAAAGCTTCTTCCGCTTGCATTAGAATATAAATTCTTCATATTATTCAGGTAACTCGCTGTTTCCTGTGAGAAGAGGAAATATACTCGTATATCAGACGCATATTTTCATAAAAATGCTGCTGGGATTGTGTGTTCACTTTTGAATTTTATTTACAGTGCTACAGTTTGTTATGGTGATATTCCATATTGAGTCCACTCAAACTACTTTAAACAAACTTTTCTATCATCGCTTATTAACATACTGAAGTGCCGTGTCTGTTTTATTAAATAAATGATTAGTGTTCTAAACTACATTATGATAAAAATATATTTCTTCTTTTCCGAATTATTACCGCAACTCATGGTTATTCTAATTCTTAAATAACTTGGCTATTGCTTGTCGAATAATTATTTGTTTCTTATGTTACCAAAAACAATTTTGCTTACTCATAATAACTAAACTACATACAAGATAAGTACGTTTAGAACAAGCCCTATTCTGACCTTTATTAAATGAATGAATTTTATCGTCCATCTTTATGGCGCAGGTTGTAGATAATCGGTCCCAAAACGAGAAATAGGGGTCAATTTAGTATAATACATCCTCCATATAACGGTGGTATGGTAATAACGGGCTGTTCCGCGCGGGTCCTCGCACGCAACCCCGCTTCCGGTCAAACCCCGGCCTTACACAAATGTATAAACGTAATGAACAACTGCCGGTACTTATGTCCCTGGTATTATTGTACACATGATCATTTCAATTGTCTGTTTTCAGTTACAAGAAAATTGGACAACATAATGAATGACTAAAGAACAAAATTATACCTACGGTCACAGGGCCTGTAATCTATCAATTTGTATAGTAAAACAAATGACCAATAGGTAAACCAATAAATACTTAAATCGTTTTATCATTAGCCAGACGGCAGCGAACGGTGGAGGCAAAAATGAATTAAATGGAATGCTTTTAACACGCTTGCATGCGCGTCCACATAATTTTAAATACATTGTCAGGCAAACTGTTAACCTGGAAATACTTAACTTGTTCCGTGTTTAACGAACCAAGATTTTCGCCCGGATTAACAAACATTACCATGAGGTCTCACAGTGCGCGTGGACGCACAGGGGACACACGAACCAATCACAGAGCTCTATTCAACACTATGCGTTCGATTTGCCACTTCACATAAGCAAGCATCGTTTGTGAATACGGAGGACGTTATTAGTGTCATTGGGATGCACTGAGAAAATGAAAGTTTTTGTAATATTTTTTCTTTATTTATTGATATTGGTAGGTAACAGAGATTACTGAACAAGTAACTACAAATTGTTTATTCATTATCTAGACAAATTAAGGTTTTGAAATGATTCCGCTATCTTTTAGTTATATTGCTTTTTGTTATTTTTATATCACAAGAATAATTGCAAAGTAATACAACCTACCGAATAATATCAGTATAATATGTTACGGGAAGCATTGGTGGCTAGGATTGGACATTGTTCTATATAAACAAAAAAAAATACTGTATGACCCAGAAAACAATGGAAGATACACATGAATTCCTATGGGAACCTAGAAGCTGTTCATCTAATTTATTATTTTTATTTTTACGGCACTATTGGCGTCGTATATTCGGGCAATCCCTTGTAGCCGTAAACTTGCTATCGGACAGGGCTATCGAACGGCCCCTCTAAGCATTATTTGTAAGGATCCCTGAGGGCTGACCCTTTCGAAGGAGGAGCAACATCGCTTTTAAGGGATGTTTTTATTTTAGTTATTGGTTAAATGCATGTCATCAGTAATTTTTTCTTCATTAAAACGTAACCAAACGTTATTTATTTATGAATAACGTTATTTTTGTATGAATGCAGTTACAAAAAAAAATCAGAAAAGTTAGTCAGTCTTCTTGTAACAGTTTACAACAGAGCTTCGTTAGTGAATTATAGGTAGCTATGAACCTTAATATATTCAGAGCCTAAAGCAGTCAACCCATATAGTCAAAACCTATCTCTTCAGCAAAGATTAATTCCATTGTTTAAAAAAATATTTAAAACTTTGGGAAAAGATTAACGCACTTAATAAGTATTAACATTAATGTTTAATTGGTTTTTAATTCCTACTTTTTCTACAAAACCCTAGACGATTTTGACAGCAAACATTTAAGCGTACCAATGAAATGAATTGAGAATATTTAAACGGGCTATCTGTTTTTCTTTCATTTATCCGACTGTGAAATGGATGTTTATTTAAGCAACGTGCAATATCTTCAAAGAAAACTCTTAGAAAAGTAACTGGTTCTTTGGTAGGGATAGGCAAGGTAATTAAGTAAACAGACACAAATTCTCAACTGTTATTCGTCTAAATAATTTACATACATATGATGATACCATGATGGTAGCTGAATTTTCCATAAATAGAATTTGAATTAATTAAGGTTCAAAACTTCTATAACTGATTCCCTTGTCCCGCTGGCGTGACATCCATTAAATGATTTGTTCATTTAAAGTTCGATGGGGCTGTCATATCTTAATAGGCAAAAGCCCCCAAATAAATAAAGATTTTTACAAAATAAGTTCAAAACCAATGAAAGTATTTTTCTCTATTACTGATACTGATAATGAAGGAGAATGCACTGAAGTATGTCCTACAAAGCTACTCGTAATAACGTTTTATTACACTTATAAAAACTTTGTATACCTTCTTGAGAAATAATACAGCAAGGATATGCTGAAGAGTTTAATGACTCGAATATAAGCTGTATTAAGGGGCTTCTCTTAAGCTACTGGCACTAACGGATTAAAGCTACTTAACTTTAATAACTTACAGTTCCTTATATTATACTTACACGTGATATGACACTTACAAATTAAGCCTATTAAACTTAATACCTCCATAATAGTCGGTTAATACTTACTAATTCAATCTTGATCTTCATTAAATTTATAATACGTTGACCCAGCGTAATATTTGCACCATTTTCAGACTAGAATTATTACATTGTTACAATAGAATGATCAATTAGGGTAATGAGAATATGACACCCTAATCAGCTTAATGGCCAAATCGGACTCGGCTGGAATATTTCAATGCTTTACTAACGACTAGCTGTCATCCATTTTCCATCGTAGATTCAATTTACCAACACTATTTCATTCACATAATAATTGACAGTATTTCCCAATTACAAAAAATAATAAACAACCAAATTAACGACTTCCTCCTTTTAGGTAGATTAATAAAAACCAAAACTACCGTCATTTTAGATGACTATCTTTTAAATCAAAACATTAAATTTACTTTATTACATGCTACGCAAACGTACCATTACCACTAACGCTGGAAAATTGCTTACTCAAAAACTGGGAATTGTTAACCGACTGGCTTGAAAGGAAGTGTGGTTTCGCCTCTTCCGGTTTTCTGTTCACGCAACATGGCCGAACTTCCGGCGTTGAAAATAGTAAATGTAGCGGCGAAGTCTACTATTTATGGTATACGTCTAAGATAACTTCGCTATATTTCTCCTGAAACCTGTATTAAAGTCATAATGATATAAACATGTTTTGACAATATTTCACAATAGTTTTACCATAAAGAAACAAAACTTGTAAAGCTATCGGTTTACTTATCACAAAGTCTTTAGTTAGCTAGTTTTATTCCCTCGATCATTACTCTCTGATAGTATACATTTATATTGTCATTAATATGAAGGCCAATGATAATTAATCGACTTATTTCTCATTACATTCAACCAAAACGGTATTTTGGCAAAAGTCAGATTAAAGGCAACGGCACCTGAACAAATAAGACACAAAGGATTGCAATGGCGATGTTATTTCGCATTCGACCCGTCGTAACCTACGTTTCTAATCCGAACCAAGTCGCTGAAAGCCTGTCATTGTGTGTGACATTACAAATGAACTGTCTCGTCCGTATGTATTCCCAGAAAAAATATTGGTTTTAAAAGCTAAATGCTAGCAAGTAAATGTTATGGCGACTGGTATTTTGATATTGAGATGATAGACTGAACTCAAATCTCGTTTTGCTAATTATGAAGATATACGTTTCAACGCCGCATCAAAGTAGGGAAAAGAGAAGACATTTCTCTTGAACAAAAACTAATTTTCAAAGTGTCACTGCAAAGTCTGACGGTACACCGTGAAAAAAAAAGAAATAAAAACTCTCAAGATCTGCCATTTGTCATGAAACTGTATCCATGTCCGTATTACAAAGTTTAAAAGGAAGCTCGCAGTCACGGTGTATTTCAAACTTAATTACTTTGATTTTTCTTAGCGAACGTCTGTTTTTAAAATGCAGAAATTTCTGCATTTTTTATCTAGAAAAATTACAAGTATCTAGGGCAGGGAAAACTTTTAGCAAGGGTTTCTTAAGCGTTAATAAAAAACTGGAAACGTCGGCAAGTTGCGCAAAGGAGGCTCCACCGAGTCCGCGTGAGCCACTAAGCCGTCTTCTTTCAAGCTCTAATTTAAAAAGCCCCCGAGCATAATGTCGCTACTCTAATGTGCAGGGA